CTCCCCAAAACCCCAAAACCCCAAAACCCCTCTAAGTGAATATAAGATTGAACTAAACATATTTAATAGTCATCTTCTTCATCTTCTTCCATAATAGTAAATACAGCCATTCCTGGTACCAGTGTCTGTGTCTTTTTAATTCCAGATGAGGTATGGTTAAGTTCAAATTGAGGGAAAATATTTTCAAATGTATCTGAATCCAGTAACCCTTCATCCGTCTCGTCCAAGAGGTTGAAGTCTTTTTCACTGTTCTTCCTTGAAATCCTACTTTTCCTGACTAAAAATTATGATAAAATTTACTAGAATTTCTCCTACTGATTCTTACAGCATCTTCTTTATTATCTTTAAATGATGCACCATGCACGATTGAGTCTCTTTCAGAAAAATCAAGGAGAGAAATCCTTGCAAATGAGAAGTTTAAATCATCCTTTACCAAGTTATCTTCAATATCATCTAAAGCATTTAAGAGTTTTTCATTAGTGCTTTCCTCTTTCTTAAACTCCATCGAAGGAAATTTTTCAAATTTTGGTGAAACATCAACTGTTGGAGCTCTTTTAATCCCTAACTTATTTTGACTGCTCTGTCATGTTTCTTAAAGATTCTCTTCTGATAAGCAAAGACAGTCTTTTCTCGAAAGGTATCATCTTTATTTGTTCTTGATCTAGGTTACTTAGAGAGTCCATCTCAAGATAACTATCATCCAGCATTAAATTTGTTTTAGTGTTATCTAACTCAGAAAGATCTTGATTGTCCATTACCATGTCTAGTTTTTCAACAAGTGATTTATCTTCAAAATACTCTGGAAGAAGGTTTCTAGCAAACTCTTGATCTTCTTTAGACCTCTTTTTCAATTCGAAATTTGGTAAGAAATCATCACCTATCAATTAAGGTTTGATACATTACCGATTTCAAATGCTCCTCTAGAAATATCGCTATCACAATGACTGAAAAGGCCAGATTCATCAGTCCTGTTGATGAAGTCACCTTTGAATTTGATACTCTGAAGTCTCAATGTGTTAGAATTCAATATTTTTTGCATTAATTTATCAATTTTAGTTCCATATTCTGAAAGAAGAGTTCCAAGGTCATATTTGGGCATATCTTTCTTACTCCCTTTGCTTGCTTCATTAATTTTATCCTTTATTCTTTGAATTTCAGATTTAATCTCGAAATATTTGCTCTTAAAACCTTCTTGAGTAGATATACTTTTATGAACTTTAGAAGTATATATGTTCTCAATCAAACTAGCATTATGGAGTCAGTCATGGCTAAAGTTACTAAATAGCTCAATAGGTAAAATTCAGCTCACAAAGCCAATAGTACTATTGCCATTAGCTAAGTAGAATTTAAGAAAACTTGTAAGTTTGCTTGCTTCAAAGATTTCATTGAAATACTCATTCTCAATTGAAGCATTTCACGATTTATTATTTCCTAATTCTTCAAAGATTTTATACAAGTAAGCTAAGGACTTGGTTAAGTCATGCTGAGCAAGATTTAGGAACCTTTCATCTTCGCTCTCCTTTAGCTTTGCTTTTTCCTGCTTGTTTTTCTCGATGAGTAGCTCTCAATCAATATTTCCTTCTATGCCTGAAAGATTTACAAATCAAATAGAAGAAACATTCATATTTGCTGTTGTTTCTTCTTCGACTATAAGATTCATTCCATCTTCAATTTACCTTCTTTGTCATGGATTTCTAGAACAATTTTGAACACAGTGTGTGCGAATTGTTTTGGCCTTCTTCGTGACTAAATTGGTGAGATGAGATTTTACGAAATATCCTTCTTTGTTCTCTTCTAATTCTTTTCTCCAGGTGGAGTTAAACTTGGATTTGTTGTTTAAACATAGATTCCACAAGGACACTATCTCTTGAATTGAAGAGCATACTTCCTCAGTGACTTGCTCAAATGAAGTCTTTTTACTTTTGGAACTAATACTATTTATAGCTAAGAGATCATATATCCTTTCATTAAAAATCTCGAATGCAGAAATTCTTAATACAAAATCCTTAGTCTCATCAGTAAGTATATAGTCGAAGATAGATTTTATTGACTCGAATACTAGTGATCTTTCCAATCTGTCTCCGAATAAGCAGTCTTCTTTTCCAGAATAGCTCTGCCCACCAGTGAATACACACATATTATGAGACTCATTGAGGCATCTTAAAAGAGGATTTTTAAAGTGTTTTGTAAATATTTCAGGATCAGGAGAAATGTTCTGATCAATTTCGTTTTCTAATGAAGTCCCAGAGGAATAAACCCCATCGACTGGGAATATATGCATCTTCTGCTGATGTCGGAGGTATAATATATCATCTTCATATTTACATAAATTCTCTCGAGTGCCTGGGGGTATCTGAAGACCTGCTTCTTCTGCCTAAAATATTATTAAAAAAATTACTTCAGAAATATCCATTATTCTGACTAAGGAGATACTTTTATTTAGATTCTTGGCCTCAGGCCTCATGATTACAATCTTGGAACTACTCTCTTCTTTAGTGTGCAGCTTGTGAGCTTTCTGTAGTACAGAATTTATCTTATTTCTAATCTTCTCCTTCTCTAGTAAAGAAAGCTTAGAATCATCTTCTTGATCCTCCTTAACCTTCTTTTTATCAATAGTTCTTCTAAAATCTTTCAACTTGCATTGAAAGTTTTCCCAAGTGGTCTTATTAACTGTACATGCAGTATCTTCTGAAGGAATTGGGGGATCATCATTTTTATCTTCATCATCACCAAAATATATAGTGGTTGAGTTCCCAGTTTTGAGAATACTGCTACGCCCTTCTTTATACTGGAATGAGCCTAGTTAATGTTAGGGTTAATGATCAACAAATGGCTGATTTATTTAAAACAAGGGTATTAGGTTGCGATAAGATCCCACTGTTAATTTGATACAATAGAACTTACCTTGACTTATCTTTGATTTATTTGGAGTAATACTATTGCCACTTGGAGCTGTATTCCTGGTATAATAATCGCTTTCTAATGAACTTTTTTGTTCCTTTTGCCTTGTGTTTATGTCATCTAATTCTTCATCAAATAAATAAGTGGCAGAAGACTGTTTTCTGCCGTTTCCTTTGCTAACTTCCTCTTTAGATTCCATAATATTTAATTTTTATTGATTTTATAGAAATACTATATTTCAATTTTAAATGTATTTTTTGGGGTTTTGGGGTTTTGGGGTTTTGGGGTTTTGGGG